ATCGGTCTTAGATTTTCAACGTGCCTCCTATCTTTACCTCTCTTCGGGATCAGTATAGTTATACTTTTTTTCATCTCTCCGGGCATTTTACCTGTATCTAAGATCTCGTTTACGGCTTGTGTAATCAAAACCCTGAATTCTGACCAGAACGTTTTAAAAAATTCAGCAGTATACCCGCATGGTCCCGGAGAGCTACCATTCTTCATTGAAAACAGTGCTTGCTCTAACTCCCTCGAATCAAAACGACTTTCACACCCGTCCCGTTGTCTCTCTGACAGTGAGGCAGTGTCGTTCAAAAAATTGGTGTAGCACTGCTCAACGTGCTCCGAATCATAAAGCTTTGCAAAAAATGTCCGGCATTCCTGCAATATTTCATCCCGGTCTACGGTGACTTCTCCTCTCTTTGTGCCATAATTTGACATGACCATAGCTTTACAAACGTTATGTGCAGCACTTCTCACAGGCAAACCATGAAAGTATTTCGTACCTCGCTCTGCGTGCATACGCCACCGAATTTTCGCGTTCCACATGTTTTTATCAGTCATTTTGCTTACCAGACTTTCCAGCTGAGCTCTTTTCAGTTCTAACCTATCCTTATCATCCTCATCTAAAGTATCTAAATTGCTCATGTAGTTTATCTCTTCATCGAGCTGCTTAAACTCTTGCTCTCTCTGCTTTTTTTGGGTGGCTGCATACTTAATAATATCACCTCGTAAAACGCATAAAGTTGTCTCCAGTAACAAAGTTCTGGGAGTGCCTATCGTGTCATTGTCCGCAATTATCATCGGTACTCGTGCTTTAACCATATCTTGAAATTGTCTGTCTTTAATGAGATCTCTTTTACACTTCCAGTAAGATTTTCCTATCTCGCTTCCCGTAACCTGCATCTCCAACACAACCATTCTATGATCTGCCAAAAAACCGTCAACTATTCTCGCTTCCGTTTTACCATCCCCATACAACACTGATTCACTCACAAGGAAAAAATCTATCCGAGACCTGCTTCTACCATTTTGACGAATGTATGTGTAATCACGTTTAAATGGATTTTGCTCCCTCCATATGTCTATAACATTATATTCATTCATAATTTGCTCGACAGCTCTTTTGCAACGATCATTATTAGAAACATCCCTACCGGAGGTTTTTCTATCTAAGTTCCTGTCAAATCCAAAATTAAAGTCACCCCCTATTACTAATTCATCGATTTGATGTTCGTTCAATTTTGCGTGCAAATTCTCATAAAACTTCGGATCATCGATGTTTGGTCCATATAGGGTCACTAAAGTCATAGATACACCTTGAGTCTCTATGTCTACTATGAGATACCTTCCGTTGGGATCTGCTTCTACAAGTTTCATCTGTATGGCTGCCCCCGGTCTCAGTAAAATGCACACACCCCTGCTCCTTATGTCGCCGTGTGCAAAATATCCATCTCCCCCCCATTCGTTTAACCACCTTGCAGAATCTCTCTCCTCTGAATGAGTTTCTTGTAGCATGTATATGTCTGCATTTTTCTTTTTGAGCCAGGTAAACATCTTTCGCCTATTTGGTCCTCTTTCATGTGTCCTCAATCCATTCACATTTAACGATACTACTTTAAGCATTTTGAGTTTAATTTATTTTTCCCTTAACCTTCCAGACCTCCTATCGCCGCCCGTAAGTTGTCGTATTATCATCTCGATGCCCTCCGAAGTCAGGCAAGGGCAATGATATAGCGCTATACCACCGTCGTCGCCGGCCTGAGAGCAATTCGTCAAACAAAAAGTATCCCTGGTACTACGCGCACGTTGTGCCGTTATATCCGTAGGCCTTATGCGTGACATACATGATCCGATTGAAATAACACAAAACAAAAATGCAAACACTTTCACTAACCGCAGAAAAAATCCCGACATCGCGAGACCGTGCCCGTGGGCCGGTTACCCGAAAGGCCCAAACATCTTGTACCAGAACCCCCAATGTAGAAACACAAGTCGCGAGCTAACAGTGTAAGAAATCTCGTCGTAATCCACACCATCCTTATGTTTGGTGTTATCCTTAAGTGCGCCAAAACTGCAATATAATTTCAGAATCATGACATCACCACCTGATCCATATGCAACGGGCAGGGTGCAGCTAATGGCTAGCCGTCAGTGGTCATGTCATCGGTGGTCACTCAAAAGGCCATGCTAGGTCATGGAAGGTCACCAGCCGTTATTTGATCACACTTTCTGATGGATTTTACTTGCCAAGAGCTTCGCGGGAAAAACGAGCGCATGCACCGTTGAAAAAAAAAAATTGAGTGAAAGGGTCTCAGGTCCGGCGACCTCTGCAGGTGAAATGCCCCAGGGTATAGGATTCCGGTCCTTGTTGATTAACTTCGTCAAAAATGGCAGTAGAGCTGTGATGTCGGCACCATTGTGTTCGTCATGATCGAGCTGGCACGACCTGCATCGTTCTCATATTCACCCTCCAATCGTAACAACTACAGCAGGGATTGCCAAATGGCGGGGCACCCCCTTTGGGAGGTAATGAAGGTCATCCTGGAAACCTCATCCCGAATCTCTTTAGCATTAGTGGCTCTCCTTATGGAACAGGTTTCTTGACTGGTCTGTTTCACCCCAGAATTCAAAGACTAGTCAAGGTAAAACCGAGCGCACCACAGTGAGCACAATTTGACAAGCTGGCGTATCTCAATTTTCATGTAGAACCTTTCACGCATCACGGACCTAAAACCCTTTCGTGCACTCATGCAAAAGCAACTGCCATGTTTCAACAGCTGGTAATGGCATTTTTACAGCCGCTGACGTAAGAAGGGGAGGGATGGGGGGCTCGATTAGACCCCCAGCCGTTCGGCCGCCGACCGAACTTAGTTTTGCAGAAAAAATGAGTGCTATCGAACCCCTTGACGAGAGGGAGCCGATGCTATATCCAATTATAAGGTCTTGGGCTACTGCGTGCTTTTTTGATCCTGCCTGTGATCTATCCGAACACTTCTCCCCACAAGTGCTGGGGTTAAATGGCATAGATTTCAAATGGTTCCTGTGGTAGAACTGCCATGCTTGAATTTGACTAAATAGGAATGGAAAATTTTCCATATAGTAACGGAAATCTATGGAATTTCAGTGAACTTGGTTTTATCGGCAATGGGGTCTGGCACTTGGCAGTGGGGTGGGGAGGTAATAAGTAATAACCCTGCCTGGCGCCCCAAAAAGGGGGCACGATCCCCGAGGCCCTGCCGATCACCTTATAACTACTGCAGGCATCACAGCTCCACACCTTTTGCAGATGGCCAGGACCCCCTGCGATGCATCCCAACAGCAATCTTTATTCAGAACCTGCCTTGATTAACCAACGATGCATTAAATGCGACGGATAGCTCTATAATGCATTATTATCAACTATTGAACGGGCCTCGCCGATAGGGGGGTACTGTACCCCCTAACTTTCGATAGCGGGGGACCTGTCCCCCCGTCCCCCCCCCCCCCCGGTGGCGCCGCCCATGCGTCTTGGCAGAGTGATTGGACTGAATAGAAATTCGTAATGTATTTTGAAAAATTATGTGCTGTCGTTTAGTGAAATAAATAAGAAAACTGGCCGGTAGCGGGTAGCTTTTTGAGTTATGGGAGTGTAAACAAAAAATAGTTAGTCCCTCTTGTGGTAAACTTTACCTTATTTGTCCTCATTTGACATTGACGATTTTGATCTGATGTCATGAAATTAACGCACAGTCGAGTTCCCCACCACCCCCACCCACCCCTTGAATTTAGTCTTTTTAGCTTCCATAGTAGTTAAGATCTTAGGGGAAGGGCGACATTCACCCCCTTTCCACTGGGAGAAGTTCTCGGAACCCTTCCACTGCGCGTGATAATTTGCAATCATAAATCTGGGATGACAACCGTCTACAGAACTCTAGTGTGTCCCATGTCGACCAAGATATTTATTTTGCAATTGCTCCTTTATCAACAGTGCCGTTTTTGAACTGCCTTTTTATTTCTTTGGTTGTTTTCATATGTTATGCCCATATTTTGATCGACCGAGGCCATTGCAGGGCCGACAGGATATTAAGGGTTAGGGTAGGGGACTTTGGTCTGGGTGAATACCATCATGCTGCATGATGGTAGTGCTGAATTCATGCATCACAATGGTTTAGCCCATTCCGTGGAACAGGCCACACAGCCGTATAAACGGTCGTCCCACCGCACAGGAGCCTGCTCCGATCACGATGGGGTTACCCGAGATCCAGAGAAGGATGTACGATATCTGGAATCGGCACCCTCCACGTGCGCACGTGCAAAATGGAACCAAAGTGACTTTTTACGGCATCTCACCAACTGGTCCCTAACCGCTTACCAAATTTGAGCGCAATCGGCCCAGCCGTTCTCGAGATCTGGAGACGCCCCCTGCGCGTGCGCACATGCAGTAGCACCCTAACCGTAAACACGGGAATGCAATGCCTGGCGCAATGCAAATGCTATATCTACATGCCCAAGTTTTAGCGAAATCGCCCCAGTAATTCCCGAGTTATTATAATGGGAACAAACTTGGCATTTCTTCCTTCTGCAGTTTCCACGTGCAGTGAGGGTGACCCACATGCATTAGAGTACCCGATGTTTGACAGAAAGGATGCAACTTCCCTACAAAAATTACCGTAAGTCAATTACCCTAGCGTTTGCCGAGATATAGGCCTCTCAAAATCGCTACTTCAGCAGAACAATTTAACTTAGCTTTTCACGTGACACGTGCCACGACGGCCACCTAGATGCATCAAGAATAGCCAGTTACGGGGGAGAAGGGATGGGGCTACCCAATAAAAAAGACCGCAGGTCAATCCTGCGGATTTGCTGTAGTGTCCACGGTTGCTGAGTTATAAGCCTAGCTCTCAAGCGTTACAGGCCGGGTCGGGCCGGGCCGAGCCGCTCATACTGAGATTTTTCCGTTATATTGAAAAAGACTCGCTTCACGTTTCGCGCTCGCTCGTAAACATCGATTCTTAATTATGTGCATTTCCATTTCAGATGAAAACTACGTTCTTCAAAATCCCACCGATGGCCTTGCAGAAGCTGGTACTATTTTCAACCATGCAATGTATGCCCCATTTGGAGGTCAAGTTCAGCCAGCATTATCAGCTAGAGCGACACAGAGTCCGGCGGACGGGAGAAGCAGTTGGTCTCCAAATACTATCACAACACGAGGCATCGGGTCAAATGAAGTCAACCAGCTGCCAGCACGGTTCAACAGATCACCCTCTGACTGGAGTGAATTCGCTGCGCCGTCAGACCATCTCGGAAAAGTGACCGGTACACAAAACACTCTACGGAAGGATGACCTCTTCTCCAGCACTACAGCAAATCAAGGATTGATATCCTGCGGAAGTCCGAACGTTTTGCAGCCAAGTGATCACAGTTCGGGTATCCCAGTCTCGAGCCACTCTACTACCCCGGGTGATGACGGTGGTCTGAACGACCGGGTGCCCCCCAGGCACGCTGCCTCTGCCACCTTTACCACATGTTCAAACCCAGCCACAGACCCAGCTATGGACCCTGCCGTTGATTCTTCCAGGCACCTGCAATCGAATCCGGGATCATGTTCCTTCGTCCGATCACCAAGCTCGCCAGGCGCCCGCCGAAGGATGAGCCCAAGTCCAGCTCGAGGCACAGAAGAGGGTGCATCCGACTCCGGAACGGGAAGCGGTGACGATGATGAGCATGAGGATCTCAGTGCCTTCGCAGCCCCCAGATCAGGCGGAATGTCGAGTCAGCCAGTGCCGTCCGAGTGCCCTCCCCAGCAGAGCACGTCTAGTCAAATGTCTGAGCAGAAAAGGACGACTTCAACATCTTCAGCGGAGCAGGCACGACTCCCTCCGTGGTCGCCATTTGCTGACATGTCGCCAAAGACAGGGCATGAGCCGGACCGAGTGACTCCTGCTGAGTCGACCCCGGTAGCGGGGCGAGACGTGGCCCCAGTAAAGCCAGAGCCCCCGACGACATCACGAGACCCGGTTCCCCGGTTTCCTGGCGGGATGGGAGCGGCGCATGAGGAGCCCAAGGACCCCAGTCTGGCGGCGCTGGGCATCACAGCGGAACTCTGCTCCAGAGATCTGTGGCTGGAGTTCCACGAACACGGTACTGAGATGATCATCACCAAAATGGGCAGGTGAGTTTCGGAACGTCGAGGGTGACCGCGTGGTATGCTTCTTTAGGGATTCAATAATGATCACATAGGCTAATATTTTTAACAGCTAATCTGAACTTTCTCAATGAAAACGCAGAAACTTTTCGGCGAGGCTTAGACAAATAAGGGAAAGGTGCTTAATTCGATGTCTACATTGTCTAAATTTGTATACGTTATCTAAATCCGACCTTTTTCCGAATCCGAAGTTATTTGCTCAAAATTTGAAACCAACCATTGCGCTAGTACTCGGACGCCAGAGGTCGTCCGTTGAACTCAGGACAAAGCAATTGGTATTTTTGCTTTTCGTGGCGGTCAGCATGGCCTGTTTTTCGGCTAACATGTTGTTATCGGTAGGTCGTTGAAAAGAAGCCTGCAACTACTTGCATATTCAATGTTTTTCTTTTAAAGCAAGTCATGGAAGCAAGCCTAACTGCTGGTGCGATTTGTAAAAAGTTAAGTTGACTGCAGTGGCGTATCCAGGATCTTGAAAAGGGGAGGCCAAACCTGCTCTAGATGCCCCATCCTTGCCTTAGGGGTCCCAGTAGTAGCATACTTAACCCGCGCGGGGCTGGGGGGGGGGTAAATTTTACCCCCCCTCGCGAATTTTTGCGATATCTCAAAAACGGCGGCGCGCAGCGCCGCCAAACTTTCAGTACCTTTTCTTACATCAATTTGACACGTTCCCTGAAAATTTGAGCGAAATCCGTCGGAAAATTTTTGAGAAATTGACGTTTTAGTGACGTCATGTTCGCCATTTTCGCCTCAAAAACGGCAAAAGTTCAAACGCCGCTAACATCTTCATTTTTAAAGGAATCAAGACGTAACAAAAAAGGTTATACGTAACTTTACTTTGTCTATCAAATGGCTATCTCGGTTTTTTGAAAATTTTGGATTTTGGCCTGAAATTTTTCAAAAAACTGATTTTTTTTGGAAAATCATTATAAAATCCAAAATTTTGAGTCTATCAAAAAAACCGGAATATATGTCAGAGAAGTGGTCTATGTGCACCTACATACCAAATTTTAGAAGAATCGGTTCAAAAATGTGGGAGTTATTCAAAATTTTATGACGTCACGACACACAAATTTTTTGAAAAATGACTTTTTTGGAAGTTCTAGACCTCGTACGGTAACAAAAATAGCACCATTCGATTCGCCGTGAAAAACTGCATCAGATAGACACCTTTTTAGGCCTTAACAACCAACTTCAAAATTTGACCTCACTTGACCTGACCTTGACCTGACCTCGACCTGAAATTCATCCAGAGGTGGTCCATATCACTTATTGAGTGTGCCTATTGAATTCTATGAGTAAAATGACCCATAAAACATGTGTCGCACATGCCCTTTTCTATATTTTGTTTTTGGTGACCTGACCTGACCTGACCTGACCTGACCTTGACCTTGACCTCTGAATGATATTGTATGCAACGAATATTGTCTTGGTAGCCTAAGAACACGTTTTGGGCGATCAGTCTCAGTCCATGACTCCATTCTTCGGCAACTACGGTGCATGGCCGATACTGTAGAAACTTGCAATTTGTACCCTTGACCTGACCTTGACCTTGACCTCAAACTTTAAATTAAGTACATGTTTTTAGTAGTTCGTGATGAGAGCTTTCGATTGGCGTTTGAATTTTCCAAATCGGACCATTAGTTCGGGAGATAACAGGGGGGGGGTAAAATTTACCCCCCCCCCCAGCCCCGCGCGTTCGGCTGGAGACCCCAGCCCCGCGCGGGTTAAAGGTAGCGTACCACCTTCGAATGATTTCCCATTTTATTTTTCTTAGGATAAGAAGCTTCTGTTTTTACCTAATATCGCAAAAAAATCAAAAATGGGCCTAAAATAGTGTTTTTTTTCGCCTAAAAGTTTATCGGTTTTTCGACATGTATAACAATTATAGTGGGCTGACCTGCAAACAGGCGTCGGCAACAATCACGAATGCGGCGCACATGTGACAATAAGCAAAGGTCATTAGAGTTACGACGTACGGGAATGAGTTATCAGCTGTCTAATCGTAGACAACACAATGTCGAATTTAAACTGTAAGCCTGTATTGGTATTGTTTCTTTAATTTGGCTGTCGAACATTAATTTATGGTTTGAAATATTATTTTCTGTAAAATAATTGATATGAAACAGCCGTCTCTAAAGTTATGACCCCATCTCACCACATGAAAGTGGCAGAAATGACAATGATCAGCTGACGCATTTTTCTTGGCCGAAGTCAGAGCGCGCGGCCCGACGCACTACCACCGCACCACAAAGTATGAGCAGAAGCCGCGCCCAAAGCCAGGGCCCAGGTAACGTGAGGTAGCCGAGTCGGGGCAGCGTGCGATGACCCAAGCCGGGGCCGCGGCTGTGGGCGCGGTCTACCGCATCCCCGCGGGCAGCCCCGGGCTATCACATGACACCGGGAGGACGCGCGGCCCCGGCTTGGGTCAGCGCACGCTGCCCCGACTCGGCTGCCTCACGTTACCGGGGCCCTGGCTTTGGGCGCGGTCTACCGCACCACCTAACAGGCGTGTTCGAAACCGCAGGAGATGATGATGAAGGGGTTTATCGAAACTTGATTGGATGAGCCTATCGGTAATAGCGATTTCAGTGTGTGCATTTATTGTTTATAGTGGTGTGAAATGTGGTTGGGGTACGACCGACAACCCGTCGGGGCGAATTTCGCACTGGGGTACTCAAAATTTGAAGAATTTAAGACGTTTCCATTAGTTTTGAAGGTATGGATAAGTTCTAAAAATCCGGTTCTCTTTATCTGGGCCATTAACTCCATACGGTCCAGGAAAGCTGGCACACTACCTTTAACCCACGCCCGAATGCGGTTCTTTGCCAACTTCCCCTTGGCATGTTGGCAATATTCAAACTTCAAACTTGGCATTCTTTTTTAGAATGCCGAGTTTTTAGGCACCGCCAAAGCGGCCCCTGAGGACCCCACGCTAGCCTTTGGGGGCTCGACCTCAGCCTCTGAGGGCCCTCAAATGGCAAATTAAGATAGTTTGAACGCGGTTTGACTAATATATGCTTGGGACAGTACTTCGGATCAGGCCCTGCAAGATCGTTTCTCCTGGAGCACTCAAGTGGCCCAGAGCACCCACTTGCTTGTCTGAAGTCAAAGGGGGAGGCCATGGTCTCCTGGCCTCCCCCTGGATACACCACTGGTTGACTGACACATGAATCGCTTGGACAACTGAACTTTTACTGTTTGGTCATCATTTTTGGACATATTGCTTAGACAGTTCACAGTAGACACAGTGCCGTTTCCCTTTCGTTCAATTTTCTCTGCTAACGCCTATATTCGCAAATGCAAACGCTGCCAAGTTTCAGGAAAATGTTGCGTTCAACGCTAGCAGCTCATGAATGAAATGTCAGATGTCGACTGCCCAACGTGTCAAAAGGTTCGATTAAATTGATCTCCAATGTTATTTTAACCCTCGCATGTGTGCGGCGTTTGCCAGCTTCTAATGTGTAGGGGGGGGGGGGGTCGGTTGGACCCCCCCCCCTTGCCGTTTGGCCCCTGATCGAGCTAGAGCTTCGCGGAAAAAACGAGCGTGCTGCCCGTGACGAGAGGAAGCCGATGATACCCAATTTTAAGGTCCTAGGTCATTGGTTGACCTTCCAGGTCAGGTCAATGACCCAAAGTCGGGAAAATCGGGACCTGTTGGAAAGTCGTAAAGTGTGGCTGCTAAGGGGTTTTTTCGGGGTGCTGATCACGAATATCGTGTTAGTTTTGATCACAGATGATGTCTTGAAGCATTTAGACCAGGTCGGGTCAGGTCAGGTCAGGTCAACCAGTAGGCGTCGTGACGGGTATTCGTAGTACGTGTCAACCGCCTCTGACAGCTTCATAACATGTTACGAAGTCACCAAAACTACTTCGTAAATGTTCAAATGGTTGCTAAATTCGAATTCAGCTCCAAAAACTAGCCTAGAAACATGTAAAACTCGAAAAAGTGACCCGAGGTCACCCGAGGTCACCAAAGGTCAATGACCTGACCTGACCTTCAGGTGACCTTGACACACACGGGAGTAACATCAAATCACATGTTTGAACGTTTGAAACCACGAAAAGCTTGCAAACACGCGGCTAGTGCGAGCCGACATACGCGAAATCGCGATTCCGGCCAAACATGGTCTCGGAAAAGAGGTCACAGGTCAAAGGTCATTTGGGTCAGGGTCATGAAATTTTCAGGGTAGGTGTAAAATTGATCAATGCGAGGGTACTGAAAGTTTCGTCGCGATCGGCCGCTTTTTACGCGAGTTATTCGCGAAAAACCATGGGGGGGGTCCATCCGACCCCCCCCCCTACACATGCGAGGGTTAACACACTGTGAGTACATGACAGACCCGGCGGTTCAAACAACTCCAGCCGTGGCCTCTGGGATACGCTCGAAGATTGACGAAAAGTCTTCTCGGGCAGTTGGGGACTGCAATCCTACCGGCCTGAGCTGTATAGCGCCGGCACCACCGGGCGATGCCGGGTTCGCCCCGACCTGCCGCTCCCCACTCGGGCCGCGCCACAGCCGCCCCGCTGCGCCGCCCATCGTCTCAGCGCGTTATTCACGCCGCGCCACGCCGGTAGATCGCGCCGCTCGGCCGACCGGCGGCCATCAGCATAACTCGCCGATCGGCCGCGCCAGCCGCGGGGGGCTCAATTAGGTTTTTAGTGGCGGCGCTGAGCCAGGTGTGGTGTCGGCCGGCGCGGGGGGTCGGAAACAAACCGGACCGAACCGCCGCATGCGGCTTCATATCAGTTTCATGAATGGAAGCGTAGGGTCTGTGGAGTGAGCGTGAGACACGGTTTGGAATGTTTTGGGCTGACGGCACGTCGTCATTGGTAAAACATCGTAGATTCATGTCGTTCAATGGCTCATATCGTTAGTTGCTTTTTAATTTGTAGAAAAACCACTACCGCAAAGCCCATTGGCAGCATATACTAACGAGTGGTGGCAACATTTCGAATTGGGCTCCCACGGCCGGTTGGCTGGACAAAATAGCGGACCCCACCGAGGTTAGAGAGGGGAGGGGGAAACCACCACTGATACTATGGCGTCACGCCATAGTATCATTTCTTTTCGTACGCCAAGTGCAGTGCTTAAAAATAGGTGTCGTCTTAGGAGCTGGGACCTACTCCCCCCCCCCCCTGGGCTGCCAGCAGCAAGACTTGAGCAAGACCATGACTGATTCAGACGAAGGGCACCGATCTAACGGAAAAGTGGGTCATTTTTATCCATTTGGTCCGCCATATGTATGCATGACTGATGACATACGTGTTTCACTATGTGTCCACGGGCCAACCGCTAAAAGTTGGCAATTATCCACCTTTTGGTTGTTGACTGTTGCTGCTGTTTTACACGTCAATACAGCACAGAGCACATGCTTGGCTTGGAGAGCAGTTTTTACCAAGCACTGCTTCCCGGGGTCGTTTCAGACGCATGTTCCCAACTGTGAAGGTGCGTCTGCACGGTCTGAAGCCGTCTGACTCGTACATCGTCTACATGGACATTGTGCCGGTGGACGACAAGCGCTACCGCTACATCTACCACAGGTGGGAGAGCCAGATATTGCAGTTGGTGCTCGTACGGCCATGAGATCAACCGTTTGATAATCCACCGGCGTTGATAGTCGCGGGTTTCTGGTAGCGGAAACAACATACCACATGCCTGAAACCGTGCAAATTTTGGGTGATTTTAAAGGGACCCTCCCACCTTCAAAAAAGTTTATGAAATGGCATGAAAGTGATGTCGCTCGGTTCAGAAAGAGCGAAAACGAATATCTACCAAATTTCACCGAAAAACACTCACCGGTTTTCAAGATATTAGACTTGTACTTTTGTTTACTTTTTTGGGATCTCCGCTGTTTCTAGCGACTTTATTTTAAAAGTGCGGCGTTTGCGGCAGATGTTGCGCGCAAATAGCATATACCACCGCGTGCTACAAAACGTTTTAGTCAAACTTAATGACGGACGTTCGAAAGCCTGATGACGTCATCAGATTCCCGTAATGGTTAAGAGATAGGGACCACGCTGGTCCCACCCTGCAAGTAAAGGGAAGAAATTTCTTGAACACCATATAGCTGCGGGGGTTGCGACCAGGATAAATGGTGGTTTCTGAGCCTGGCCGCAAACTTGGCTATCTCAACTCAAAACTAATGTTAAGGTGGGAGGGTCCCTTTAAACATGTTGCGATATCGATTTGCAAGAATCGAAAAAGCTAATAATCGAATCACTACACAGGGTAAATGTGGCCGCTGCTGATAGTCAATGCACGCCAATTCCACATCGATGGACCCTGATTACCGCTTACGAATTATACAAGGTTGCGCAATGTTTCAATTCCATTTTGCAGTTGATCATGGTTGTGACGATGGCGAAATGGTGACAAGCTGCTATCTATCTGAACTCTGAAGTGACAGACCCTCGGCCTGACGCTAAGGTCAGAAATGTGAGGCGTGAGCCACTGACCTTTGATTTCGTCCTCTGAACGGATCTGTCATATTCCGCAAGTCATCCCGACCCATGATGCAGAATGGGCGCAATACGTCAAATTGCTGAACGGTGACCTTCCTTTGACATAAACTGCTGGTGCAGTTTTGAGAATTTAACCGTTGCATGATTATTCGCATTTCATTCGTTGCTATCAATTATCATCCCCGATTATGGATACGTCGCTAAGGTTCTCCACTATTATGAAAACTGATTGCTATCTACGTAAAACAGATATTGTGCGACTTCGAGGCAATATATAAACTAAACAGCACATGGGCGCAGTGCACAATGTCACATACGAAATTATCCAATACTCTAACGATTATGCGCATCTACCTAAATGGAAAAGTTTAGCAAGGGCCCGTTACACAAAATACATCTTTGGTTAGACGAATAAAATGTTATGTAACAGAGAAGGTTTTCTTTAGGTTCTTTTTATATTTTTGCCAAGCCAGTCAACTGCTAACCAGTTCTGCTACAATGTGTGACTCGCTTCCCAAATATCGCTTCGTCATCCATGCATCCGTTCCGTTCGAACAAGTATTTTCACTTCAGAAGTTGGCTTGATTTTGGTGTTTGGCTTAGTTTTAGTTGATATTTGGTTTGGTACCGGCTTTCTAATTATGTATAACTAACTGACTGGGTGGTGGCCGGTTGAGAGGACTCTCTTGCTGACCTGTATCTGTCCTATTGTATTTTACATTCATGAGCGATCCACATTATTAAATTGCGTGGCGATTGAATAATGACTACCCATTCGGATGACCCCAGCTCGGAGTGGGCGGTGGCCGGCCCTGGCGACTCAGTCATCGGCCCCAGTCGGTACGTCCATCCCGACTCACCGGCCCTGGGCCGACTCTGGACGTCTCAGGGCATCGTCGCTTTCGACAAACTGAAACTGACCAACAGGAGGGTCGCGTGTAGCCCAGCGCAGGTGAGAGTGCAGCCCGGCACAGGTGAGGGTGCACCCAGCTCAGCGAGAGGGTGCACCGGGCACTGGTGAGAATGCACCCAGTACAGTGATATTGCACACTCGACACATTTCAAAGGGTGCACCCGGTGCAGGGGCAGACTGCACCCGGCACTAGTGTGAGGCTCTTTTGCAACGACCATGATGCTTAGCGACAGTACCGACAGACATTCATAATTATAGAAATTGTAATAAAGCTTGAAATGTCATTTACCAGAGGGAGGGCTCCGCACGTGCACGACATAGGATCATGGGAACGGTTGACCATGACTACGCGAACTCTGAAGCCAAAGATATGGGTTGAATTTTAACCATTGTTTGAAGATCAAAAGTAAGCGAATTTATTGACTTTTAAGAATATGCCATTGGATAAGTTTGTATCCTTCTAGCGCATTGCCATTCTCTTTCAGATTTCTCTGCATTCCATGCAGAAGTACCGGCCTCGTGTTCACGTGCAGTGGACAAACGACCTTGTGACCCCCGTTGAAGAGCAGATTGACCTACGCAGGTCACTGACCTTCTCCTTCCGGGAGACAGAGTTCATTACGGTCACAGCCTATCAAAACCAAGAGGTGAATGTTTGTCGCTGATCTGATACTGTATTAGATGTCTGGTTTCCATGGATTTGTGCGTAAATTGCATGCTTTATTTGCATGAGCTAGCGACAATCGCACAGTTTTGTGTACGTACAGCCGTGAGCCGATGAATGTATGGATACCAAAACTGACCAAAACATATATTGTGTATGCTACGTTGCGTGTTCAACGTATTGTGTTGCTCATGATGGATTTTCTGTAGGTTATAGCCGAAATTTATATACTCGTATCATTCGCAGATAACACGTCTGAAGATCGCTAGCAACCCGTTCGCCAAGGGTTTCCGAGACATCCCCGCCAGCAAACGGTCAGTTCTTGGGGAGATGGGGGGGGGGGGGCGCCGCTCAGCGATTGGATGATGGATATGTGAATATTGCGGGCTAGATCATGCGCTAATTCTTGTTTGTTTGTGTATTAGGGTTTACAGGCGCGTCGACTGCGGTGGTCATTTTGCGCCCAACCATGCGTTAATTCATTCGCTACTTCTCTACTTAACCCTCGCCGGCATCGGCCATTTTGCGTCCTTCGACGGCACAAGGGGGGGGGGGGGTTGGTACGACCCCCCCCTCGCGTTTGGCCCCTGATCGAGCTAGAGCTTCGCGGGAAAAAAACGAGCGTGTTGCCCGTCACGAGAGGAAGCCGATGATACCCAATTTTAAGGTCCTAGGTCATCGGGTGACCTTCCAAGTCAGGTCAATGACCCGAAAACCGGGAAAATCGGGACCTGTTAGAAAGTCGTAAAGTGTGGCTGCTAGGTGGTTTTCCGGGGTGCTGATCACGAATATCGTGTTAGTTTTGATCAGAAATGATGTTTTTAAGCATTTAGACCAGGTCGGGTCAGGTCAGGTCAGGTCAACCGGTAGGGGTTGTGACGGGTATTCGTAATACGTGTCAACCGCCTCTGACAGCTTCGTAACATGTTACGAAGGCACCAAAACTACTTCGTAAATGTTCAAATGGTTGCTAAATTCGAATTCAGCTCCAAAAACTAGCCTAGAAACATGTAAAACTCGAAAAAGTGAGCCGAGGTCACCCGAGGTCACCAAAGGTCAATGACCTGACCTGACCTTCAGGTGACCTTGACACCCACCCTAATGTACGGGAGCAACATAAAATCACATGTTTGAACGTTTGAAACCACGAAAAGCTTGCAAACGCGCGGCTAATGCGAGCCGACATACGCCGAATCGCGATTTCGGCCAAACATGGTCACGGAAAAGAGGTCACAGGTCAAAGGTCATTGGGGTCAGGGTCATGAAATTTTCAGGGAACGTGTGAAATTGATCAATGCGAGGGTACTGAAAGTTTTGTCGCGATCGGCCGCTTTTTACGCGAGTTATTCGCGAAAAACCTTAGGGGGTTGCATCACCCCCCCCCCCCCCCTGTGCCGGCGAGGGTTAAAACCGGCGACCCTTTGGGTTTTACCCAAACTACTCAAACTCTGAATATTATATGAAACCATTGATGTCGTCAGCTACTGTTTATTCAATCAAGCTTTTTAGTAACGCTTATCACATTTCAGTTATATAAGTGCATGACTTATAAGTGCATGATGACTTCTGCATTGCCTACACATCAAATGCATCTATGGTGAAGATGAGTTGTCAGTTTCGCTATCGGCTTGCCGCTACTGACCAGTCGGTGATAGTTGTCCCCTCTCGACGCGTCATTCTCGTTCAACATCCTCACAGGAAAGATCTGAGTCATCAAAGGCTCGTTGTGCTCCGTTGTAACGTGTGAAGGCCGCTGTTGGCCTTTCCACCGAGTACCGGGTGAAGAAAGCGCCCGTTGTGAGCGCCGGCTGCCGTTGTCCCGATGTTTTCTGACACCTTTGACAGCTCAGTTCGCGGTAATGACACATTCATCGGGTTCGGTGCGTCGGCGGTGCCGGCGCGCCGGTGGCGTATCTGGCGCTGCCGGTGCGCCGCGATGGCCGCTTGTTGACCGAGCGCGGCGATAGCGGCGCGGCCGACTGACAGTACTGTTGGCACGGCCGGCGGCGCCGCTGACCGCCAGATAGCCGCACACTCCAGCCGGCCGGCCGACAAATGAATTAAGCTCTCGTGGCAATCAGTGTTTGAGCGCGGCGCGGCCGGCTGCCGCTGCACCAGAGAACAAAGGCGGCGACGAGTGGCGCCCCGCGCAGCCGCCGCCGCCGACAATTCTATCGCTGATAGCCGTCGGCCGGACAAAAACAGCACCTTGGCCGGCCGCGTCATGAGAGAGTGTGGAACGGCTGCTCGGCAGATAGCTCCCGGCAGCCCGGCCGTCACCGCTCCGGTAGTGCTGTCAAGTGCACGGCACAGATTTGGGCAGCGGAACAAATACGATCATATTGAATGATCATTGGATCCCGTTGCTCTGTCGCCTATTGCTGCTTACACAATTGACCGATCTGAAACGACAGGTCAAGGAAGGACTGAGGAAAAGCAATTATCAGTGACATGGCACTTTTGCCACCTCATGCTGCTTCCGGCTACCGGGCACTACAGCAGAGGGTGGCAACTGTTGTAGGTCAGCAAACAAATACCGATAAAAAGGTCCACAAGATATATTGTTTTATCACAGGTATTTTTTTCAAAGTATTTTTTTTATTATTAGCCATTCGTACATGATAAATGCATACATATTACATACACGTGCTGGCAGTGATTAAAATGCATATTCCCGATGGCTGTGTTCTTTCTCTGAAGCCATATGTCTACATAACTAACATAAGCCTGAAATGGCATAGGTAACTCCACGCCACTCAAGTCTTATTCTTAAGTCATGTTCGGCTAGCTTTCATAACTCCTAAAATATCCTTAAGATAAGCATAAGTAAGACTGATGTTGAAAGGAGCATCTTCTTAAAGTTCGGTGACGATATTTCCACCATTGTAGTGTAGGAGATGTCGAGAGACGAGGAAAGAAATCAGGAAAGCCGGTGTTTCCCTGATCATCTTCACGGAAACTTCTGACTCCAACTCCCTAGCGCCTCCAGTAGTCAATTTTGTGGACTCGTCGTCCTGACTGCACCCCCGGAGTCATGGGCAGTCGCTCTCGACATCCGGCCACCTTTTGTCTGCATCGGACACTCAAGTCCAACCGCCACTCACTCTATAGATTCTCACCTCCCAACCGCCAATCCAATGTCCGCCAATAATCCACTGTCTGTCCGACAGGCGACGCAACTCTGACCAGTCACTGAGCTTCTGTTTGCCGAGGCTTTGGGATACATTAGCGGGTACTAAGTCTAAGTGGCCTGACGCCGCTGGGCTATCGCAGGATGAGCATGTGTCTACAGCGCCGACACACATGAAAGTGCGAGCGCCGACACTATCTTGGGGCGAACTCCAAACTGTGCCGGCTACATGGGTTTGATTTGTTTTCGCCACGTGCCCTGTTTGTACGCACTTGTGCGACGCCTCCGACTCACTTCACATATTTATAGATGTGTCTTTAGTTATCGGAGAGCGTCTTCAGCGTAATGCATTAGCTGGATCACGCCCTAGGCTTTCAGGGTCAAGAACGCTACAAAAAAAGACCAAGTAGCGACAGCGATTAATTGCATTGGATTAATATAACATTGGTAGACCATGTCACTGTGAATATTATTTTCCTTTAATGTACCCTACGAGTATAATGAATCTATGCAAACTGATGCAGTGAATTGGAATTTCTTGCATCTCGTCATCCGTAGGGGAAACTGGGGTAGTTTGAGCAGTGAGGTAATATGATCCACGCCGATTTTCAACGCCGGTAATATGATCCACAACGAAGTTTTCTAGATCGTGAAAGTAAGCTGTCGAGAGTTTGGCAATTTGTTAACCCGCGCATGACTGGGGGAGGGCTCTACAGAGCCCCCTCCCGTTTTTCAGAAATATCTTCTAAACCGTTTGACGGATCGACACGAAACTTGCGATACCCTCAGCGGCATCAATTTGACACCTTGTGTTAAAATTTCAACTTTCTAGCTACCACAGTTTGGCCGGAAATGACGTCAGAATGACGTCATGTCGGCCGATTTTGATGCAAAATATTGAATTACGGCAAACGCTCTCAAGAGCTCAGTTTTTAAGCTAAATCCATTTTCTTTGCATGATTGGAATACAAATACACGTAGCTATCAAACTGCTATCTCGAATTTTCAAAATTTTGAAAATTTGGAAAAATAGTCATTTTTCGCAACAACCGTACCTAATATATGTGATAGAACACACTCTGATGAACTACACTAGCAAGTTTTAGTCCAATATCTTTAAAAATAGCCAAGTTATTCGCAATATTGTCAAAATTTTACAATTATATATTTTTCAAATCCATTTTTCAGTACGTTTTTGACGCCGTACAGCAATATAAATGGAACCGTCGTGTTTCTGAGCTCAAACTGCATCTGATAGGCACCTTTTTTGTTGAAAAATTACGTTTTCAAAATTTGACCTTTTCTGACCTGACTTGACCTCCGGTAAATTCAGCTGACAATGACCTCAAATGACACAAACGACACTATTTTCGAAATCTACGAGTAAAATGGACCATAAAACATGCGTCACGTGACCGATACATGATATACAATTTTCGTGACCTAGGATGACCTGGCCTTGACCTTAATAATTTGAAGTAAAAGTTCGTTACCCTCAGGGTATCTAAGGCATCTATCACGGAGTGCGTAAACTAAAAATGAGCCTAATCGGACTTGTCAGCCGGCGGTCAGAGCCTAGATTGTGAACTAGCAAAAATGTCGATAATTTTTTATTTGACCTGACCTGTGACGTCATCGGTGACCTCGAGGTCAATGAAAATAGGTTTCGTTCGACAGTTTTTTCAGGGCTATCAAACACCGTTTGAATTTTGACGATCGGCCCAGTAGTTTCGGAGATAGGAGGGGGGATGCTCTGGAGAGCCCCCCCCCCCCCAGTCACTCGCGTTATGGAAAATACCCCAGTCAAAATACACTTCACTCGCATTTAGGTACCGTTCATGGATTTTGAACTGTATCGCCTCGCTTTCGGACACATATTTCGGCCCGCTGACGCAAATGGTTCACCACGCGCTTCACATCCTCCGCGCACAGCATTGCAGCAAACCTCTCCACTGTGACCTGTAGCTCTATCAGGGTTGTATACGACTCAATCAATAGCATTCAATTCAATCACGACAAATTTGGGAAACCAATCAAATCAATCAAGTCAGAGCAGTTTTCGGGAATTGATTCAATCGACTCAAACGCGACAATGAAAGGAATCAATCAACTCAATCAAACGACTCAAACCAAGACATACATTAGGTTATTTGCCCCACCAACTTGGAAAAGTGTCCATAGCAG